ATATATATATATATATATATATATATATATATATATATATATATATAATATATGTGGTTTTCTAAGTTAATATGTGACCTGCAGGGATCCTTAATGTGCAATGGCTCCTGTTTCTATTGGAGTTTGACACCATTGCCCTACTTCAGGACTCATTACTTCTCAACTGAATTATTGTAAGAGTCTCCAAATTGTACTCCCTTCCTCAAGTCTCTTCCCACTCCAGTCTATTCTCTACTCAGCTGACAAAGCAATTTTCCTAAAGCACAGGTCTGACGATGTCATACCCCTGCTCAGTAAACTCCAGTGGCTTCCTATTAACTCTAGGATCAAATATAAAACCCTTTGTTTGGCATTTAAAGCTCTTCACAACCTGGCCCTTATCTACCTTTCCAAATCTTACATTCTATTCTTTTCCACATATTCAGTGACCCAGTCATACTGTCCTTGTTCTGCCTTCTACACCGTACTCCATCTCCTTTTCCCTGCTGTTGTACTGGTTGTTCCCCATGAATGGAAAATGCTCCCTCTCAACCTCTTAGAATATCTGGTCTCTTCTAATACCCAACTGAAGTACTACCTCTCCTAGAAGGCCTTTCCCAGTCTACCCAGTAGTTAGTGCCATTCCCTACTTGTATTACTTTCCCTCTACTCTATTTATCCTGATTTAAATGTTGCCTGTCCCATCAGAATGTAAGCTGCTACTCTTTGACCAAGCAATATCACTATTAAGTCTATATTTCCAAAGAGATCAAAGGAAAAGCAAAAGAACCTATACATACAAAAACATTTACAGCAGTTCATTTTGTGCTGGCAAAGAACTGGAAATTGAGGGGATGCCCATCAACTGGAGAATAGCTGAACAAGTTGCAGCATATGATAGTGATGAAGTACTGTTATGATATATAAGAAATGACAAAGGGGATGGTTTCACAAAAACATGGCAAGACCTATATGAACTGATGCAAAGTGAAGTAAGAAGAACCAGTGGATGATTGTGCATAGTAACAGCAGTGTTGTAATGATGATCAATTGTGAAAGGCTTGCTTACTGTGATCAAAACACTGATCTAAGACAATTCCAAAGGATTCATGATAAAAAAATGCTCTCTGCTTGAATAGAGAGAATTGATGAACTCTGAGGGCAAACTAAAGTGTAATTTGCTCACTTTCTTTATTTTTCTTGCTTTTAAAAATGGCTATTATGGAAATATGCTTTGCATGATTTCACAGGTATAACTGAAATCTTATAGCTTGCCTTCTCAATGGGTAGGGGAGGGGTGGGAAGGAGGGAGAGAATATAGAAGTTAAAAATTAC